TTGATGCTGTAGTTAATTATTAATTTCTTTAGTACCTATAATATGAAAGACATCATATAAACAGAATATGATCTCACATTGTCTTCTTCCCTTCCAACTCATATGTTTAATGTAAGATGGGAATGTAGCACTAAAGACTCTTCTCTTTCCCCACCAGGAGAAACCATAAATTGATATGTCATTTACACTTAAACACCCGCAAGTACAAATGATTATTATCACCAAGTAAATGCTGTATAAATTTCAACTACGTTTCCATGAAAGTACAATGCTTCTAGCAAGACTTGGCAACATATTAAAGCTGTTCTGATTTAGGATCACATTCAAGAAAAATTATTGCATTCTTACGACTTACAAACCCAAGATATTTTATTTTAAACACTTATTTTTGTAACTGTCTTCTCAGTCTCTAGTACAGAGCAGTGCAAACTAATACAAAACAATGAATACATTAGGCTAACTTAACTTACGATAATTTATTATAACTAAGGTTAGGTCTATCTAAACAACCTTAAGACTGAAAAGAAGTGTAAGAATGTCTATATAGGGATTTGACAAATACAAAGAAAGTAAGATTTTAATTCTGTACTTACCTGGAGATAAGTCCCATTTCATTCAATGTACCTATACACATACATATTTGATCTGAAGAGTTATTTAGAGCTACTAGTAATATATAATACCCTTATATATTCAACAAAGTACTGTCCTTTACAGGCAATCAGCATTTTTAATTCAGAGACATCATCTCTAATCTTCAGCAATTCCCGAATCCCAATCAGTATGGATAATGAAAAATATGGATAATGAGAAGTTACCAGAGAAAGTGTTGATTCTAAATGATACATTCTACTACACTCACTTCTTATCTAGTAACCATTTGCAAATATAGTGTTAATAAAAAAAATTCTATTTCTAACCCATGCATGTATTTACAACCCAATTTTGTGTACCTGAAAGACAATGCAAATTGGAGTGAGATTAAAGCTGGCACAGCTGTACAAGAGAACTTTATCTAAATGTGATGGCAGTTATAGTGATCTTCACAGCATCTCTATCTATCCCTCATCCTTTCTCTCTGTGTCAGATGTTCACTTAGTGATCATTTTGCTTAACACCCTGTCATTGAAAAAGAATTCAATCACTAAATGAGGACTGGATCCAATTCACAGAGATGATTGTGCTCTTTGAGCAAGTCTCTCTCTCTCTCTCTCTCTCTCTCTCTCTCTCTCTCTCTCTCTCTCTCTCTCTCTCTCTCTCTCTCTCTCACACACACACACACACACACACACACAGCACAATCATCTCACAGCGTTGTTATGGGGAAAATAGGAGGAAAGTGTGTTGGATATGTTCAATGCCTTGAATTCTTTGTAAAAATAATAAAGGGCTACAAATAAATAAATATGATCTTATCCAAATTCTCCTCATCCACGTAGCTTTTTGCTATGAGAGTTTGAACCAAATCTCTGCAATAAACCTGATTAAATTCTTTATGTTTGTTTGCTTCTTCAATTCATTGTTCAGCACTACAACTACAACTGCTGTTGAGAGTGCCTCAAGAATTTTCTTTCTTTAAAAAGAAAAGGTAAGTGCCAGGGAAAGCAAGGTTGCAGTAAGGTTTCTCCCCTATCATTTGCTCCTTTTTAAAAGAGGCATGCTGCATCAAAGGGAAAATGCTCAACATGGTGAAGTTTGTTTATATCATGATTGATGAGCCAGTAGAAAGGAATCACTCTGCTGTTTTCTAGTGTACCTCTCTCTGTGTGTGTGCAGAGGCATGTACACAGTCACGCAGGTAAGGTATGCTAATGCATGCCTTCAGAAAATACAATAAGTCATTCAGTATTGTGTCTCGGATTAATATACAAGTAATAAATACATGTACATTGATTATACTATGTGGTAAAAAGTAAACACCAGCCTTCCTATGAATAAGCCACAGCTCCTGCCTGAAAATACCTGCATTTTCTTTCTCCTTTCTTGACTGAGAGGATGGGAATAAGAATATTTTTTTTAGCAGAATGAGCAGCGATAGACAGGATCTCTTAATCATTATTTTAAACAAAAGGCATTACTAGGATGATCAGATTTGGACACAGCCAAAGGATAGGATAAATCATGAACACTGGGATTACACCTATTTCAATGGCTCAAAATTTAGTCCTTCAAATCAGTATTGGAAAGCTAAGAAAAGTATACATTGTATACATATATTTACACACACACACACCCATTCCCAGTCTAGTCTACTCTTTCTTTCTGGTTTAAATGGGAATGTTCAAATCAAAATATGTTTTATCTTTTGATTGAAGGTATGGTTTTTTCCCTGGGACAATGCCTACAATTTTACAAGTATTCACAAAAAAGGAGAAGCATTAAGAGAGTTAATTCTGTTGGATGTTTGCAGAAACTCATGTTCAGAGTTTGAAGAATCTTGTCTGAATTTTAATAATGGGCTTCTGCTATGTTTTTGCACAGCTTGAATGGAGCCTCTGTTTTCATTTGCAGGTGATCTTTGTAAAAAATATGGAGTTTTCTAAAAAATTTCATATATTGGGAACACTGGCATCACATACTGTAGTTATGTCTGCTGGGTATCAGTTATCCCACATTTTTACAACAGTGCTTGCAAGAAGGCTTTTAGGCTTTTAAATTAAAATGATACATCTTGACTAGACTGGATGTTTTCCCCAAAGAGATACATGAGAAACCATATTAGACACATTTTGAATGTTATTAACAAAATTAAACAAATTAAAAAGCACCTGTGATTTTTTTTTTCTCCCCTTGATGCAGAAAACGCTTTTGACAATTTGGAATGGCCTTCGTGCTTATGGTTTTGAAAACGATGAGTTTCTATAACTTGGATACAGAGCATTTATAAAGAGCAAAAAGCTCTTTAGTAAATGGCTGTTTATCTCAGCAATGAACTGCACTGAGGGGGACAAAACAATGTTGGTTGCTTTCTACCAACAGCATTTTGGCTTTCTTTCTTGACCAAAGCTCTGAGCTGGTACAAGCACTGAACCAAACTGAGGGGACAATTGAGGATGCAGGATAGGAAATTAGGCAATACGTTTAGTATTTAGTATTAATGGGAGTCAGTTTAGTGACATCTAGCTAGAATCCAGGAAACTCTGAGTTTTAGTTCCACTTAAGATACAAAGACAGCTGAGAGTAGGAAGAGTGGCAGAATCTGGGGATGGAGTTAAAAGAATCCCAACAGAGCCACAAGTGAACTAAGTTCAACTTCCATTGAATTCTGTTGTCTCTTACTTAACTACAAGTTAAGAAGATTCATGTGCAGAGGCATGATCAGCAGTAAATCAGTTTAATGGACTTTCATATATAGACCTGATTTTTCATGAATGTCAGATGCTCAGTTATTCTTTGATTCAATTTTTCCTTTTTAGTTACAGGGCTTCCTTCTTTTTCAGAAGACAGAGCACAGGGTGGCCAGTTTGAGAATGAAAACAATGTATGCTGGTTTCTCTCCTCCTGACTCCTTTTAGTCTGCCTTCTAAGCTACTTCATTCATTCATTCATTCATTCATTCATTCATTCATTCATTCATTCATCCATTCATTCAATTCTATAGCTGCCCATCTCAGTCAATGACTCTGGGCAGCTTACAATTCAAAGTATATATTAAAATTAAGACACTAAAAATTTAAAAACAATAAAAAACAATTAAAAAGAATCTTTTAATACTTGTATTAGCTGTTTCATTGGAACAAACTTCAATGCAGGCAACTCTATTCCATTGGTTTTGTGCTCTTCTGGATGATGTAGGACAGTGATGGCGAACCTTTTAGAGACCGAGTGCCCAAACTGCAACCCAAAACCAACTTATACATTGTCGGGTGCTGGGTGGGTGTGGCCAATTGGGGTGTGGCCCATTGGGTGGGCGTGGCTGCGGTGGTAACTGCAGACTGGGTGGGACTAAAAAGTTCAATCAATCAATTCCAACTTTGCAAGATCTTTTTTTTCCCCTGCGAGAAGTTGAAATTGACTGATTGATTGAACTTTTTTTTTTTTTTTGCATACGGCAGTGGAGGCCTAAAGCGAAAAGGTTTTATAAAACCCAGCTGAAGGCCTAGGACTGGGGCGACAGCGCACGTGCCTACAGAGAGGGCTCTGAGTGCCGCCTCTGGCACCCATGCCATAGGTTCACCACCACTGATGTAGGAGGAGCCTGGGGGCAGAATTAAAAGAGGGATCAGCCTAGAATCCCTGTATAGCCCAAGCAAACTAAGTCTAACTTCCCTTGAATTCTGTTGACCCTCATCTAAACCTTACACAGGTATTAACCATTACTTGAGAAGATTCTTGTGTATAGGAATAATTAGCAATAAATTAATTTAATTAGACCTTCTCATCGCACTCTCGGGTGAGTCTTTTGCTGCTTAAATGGTTAGCCATAGCATCTCCTTTTCCTTGGGGTGAACACCTGTAGACCAAAGAAAATATGCTGTCACAAAGCTCCCTGCCAAGAAGGAAAGTTGTGTTAAGTGGTCTTGTGCATATCATAATGTCCCTCCTGTCAGGCTGACAGACGTTTTGAAGCAGTAGGTACCACTGAATTATGAACTAGCTTTCTTTAGCACTTTTTCACGAGACTCCAGCCTTTTACACGTAACCGAACCACAATTCCCAGTTAGGTTAGCTCAGAAAGCTGCCAGTTACGTTTCCACAACTTCTGCAAGGACACAGGTGTTTTTGTTTTTTCTCTCACTTCCCCACCTCCCTTTCATATGGTATGAATTCAGGGCAGGTAATTTTTGAGTTGCCGTTTCACTTTCACAGCACCTTTGTTTTTGCTGGAGAGAGAGAGAGAGAGAGAGAGAGAGAGAGAGAGAGAGAGAGAGAGAGAGAGAGAGAGAGAGAGAGAGAGAGAGAGTCAAAGGAAACCGGAGCTTTGGGGTTAAACCTGCCAGCGAAGGGCGAGGCAAAGAAACCGCACCTGTTGCATTTCTTCCTGTAGTCTACACTACAACATTATAGTGGGTAGCTCGGGGTCATTTGGGAGCAGCTTTTGCACGAAAGCACCCGAAGAGCGCTTACCCTTCTGCACCAGCTTATCCAGCCGTCGGCTAAGTGTTGGCGGGCGACCCGGGACAAGGAGTCATTAGAGATCGCTCCGCTCCGGAGGCATGAAAAAACAGGGAGAGCGGGCGGGCGCGCTCGCCTCCAGGTGCTGAGAACAGGCGGGCGAGCAGAGCCCTTTTACTCCCGCTGCTTCTTCTTTTTCCTCCCCCCCTCCTCCTCCTCTTCCTCTTTCCTTCTGGAGCGGAGGAAGGCTCCCGGCAGCGAGCGCGCTGTGATGGGCCGCGCGGGGCGAAAAGCAGGCAGAGCGCGCGGCGTTTCCTCCCGGAGAGGAGCCGCTGCGCCGCGGGAGAGATCGAAGCCGGTACCCGGGAAAGCAGAGGTAACCGGGGGCTGGCTGAGCTCGCGTCTTTGGATCGGCTGCTCGGCAGGGGCTACCCCTCTTCTTCGCTCTTCGTTCGCTGCTCCCGGGACGGTAACTTCGCCAAGCCGCGCCAAGCCACACGCGAGACTTGTAAAGGAGCGGGGCGCCAAAAGGGCGCGAAGCGGACGGTCAAAGGTAGAGTGCGCCTTCCTACCGGCGGTCGATTCTCCAGTTACGGGGCGCCACAGACAAGATGCAGCCGGCCAACCGCTAAGTGGTCAGCCGTAGCCTGAATGGGGGCGCTGGGACTTTGCTTCCTGCAGTGGTAAGAGAACCGATTCGGAATTCCGTCCCGGCCGATCAAAGGGAATATGGCTATTCGGTTCGCTACGTCGAATCAGTTGATTCACTAATAATCATTATCCTCCATTATCTCTTCGCCGCCCCCCTCCCTCCCTCCCTGTCAAAAAAGAAAGTAGCTAGCGATTTCTCGCACCGCAGTGGAAATGCCTATTTATTAGGCTTTGGTTACCTCGTGGTGGGAAAATACTCTATATGCGTCCAGAAATCCGTTTTTCTTTAGCGGTACCTGAATTTTTTTTTAAAAAAAGATTGAAATTAAGTCTAAGGGCAGTCTGTTAGGCTACCTGATGGCTGACATCAAAACGCACCAAATAGCAGCAGAGAATTTAGACTTTTCTGTGTCTCTTCGATGACACTGAGGGGTATCTAGATGTTGGTAACCCTGTCATTCATATTCAGAAGTGGCTGAAGTCCCATCCTCTTCAGACAGGAGTTGTAGGGCATCGCGTTTGCAGGAGGCTTTAAGGTTCCAAAAATGGCTCCATATAGCCACCTCTAAATAAAGCTTTAATGTGGCTCATTGGAAAGTAGAAGACCACTGTCATTCCCTTGCTCTTCTCATTTCCAACCTGTTGAAAAAATATGACAGTAAAGGAATCCACTAAGGAAAGCAATTCATCCCAGATGAAAACCTGAATAGAAGATGCTGAAGGCAAGGAACGAAATGAAAATACGGTATATCTTCAGCTTTGTATTACCTGAGTATAGCTGCAGTATCTTTCTGTTCTGTGTAAGCAGAAAGTCTGCAAAGAGGACACAAAACAACTTGGAACTTTGCCTCACTTATGGTTTATCTCCTTCTGTACAGTAGTCTTTTAGCAGGTCAGGGGACTGTTTTATTATTTTATTTATAATTGCATTGACAAGACATGGCTCAGATGCTACCAAAAAGAAAAAAAAAAATTCCCATCCCTCTGACGTACTTAGAGAACCCCTTAAGTGTCTTCCCGAATTAATTCAGCACCATTGAGTAGTGTTCATTCACAGAGAAATATATATCACAGCAGCAGCAGCAACAGAAGAAGAAATTCAAAAGATGCAATAGTAAATATTTTAATGTGGAAAGAAATGTATTTAGAGGCTGTCCTGGAGAGGGAAAGGTGAGGCTGTATCACCTCTGGGGTGGAAAGAAGAGATCTGAAGATCATGAGAGCAGTATATGATTCCTGAGAGGTAAGGACTGATGCGAAGGTCAGAAAAAAATTAAAGGACCCAAAATATTTAGCACTTTTAAGCCAAGTACAGTCATTAGAAAGTGCTTCTATATGTATTTCTCATCATTCTCTTGGGATTCCCAGTGCAAAGAAAAATAATGGTAAGATATATTATTAAAGATAGACTGCTTTTGCAGAGCTATTCTTCCTTGTGTCAAGCACTAAAATGGGATATGGGAATGGGAGATGGAATCCATACCAGGTCTACGAGAGAGATCTATTGAACTTGAAAGTTCATTGTGCGTACTTGTTTCATTGCCTTGTTTCATCAGCAGTTGTAGCTTGTGTTCGATATGCTGGCTTACCTAACATAATTAGCACTATTTCATTGGCAATACTGGGGAAGACTTTGCCAATCAGTATATTTCATACTTCATATTACAAAACCTAAGTAAATAAAAGGTCATGTCTTGAATGCATGAATACATTTTGGGCATATAATTAAAAAATGATAAATATTGCATGATTGCAGTAAAAAAACCACCAAGATTAACTTGGTTGTTGCTTTCTTATAGAAATGAACTGGCTAATATTGGTGACATTTTGATGATCCATGGAGAAGCAAGAGGGACTGGTTCTCTAACAAGTTGCCAGTCATTGGCAGAGGGTAATGGAATCAGAAAAAAACAAAGTTGGACATGTGCTGGTAAGGAATATTCAGTTGAATTTCTATCTTTCTATGGACTGATAAATGCAGAAAGTTCTTCTTTGTCACACTTCATTTTCTTTTGAGGTTGCTGTTAATAAAAGGAGACATTCTCTGTTAGATCGCAAGAAGTTTCTGCAGGTCTCCTTCCCCTAGTCTAAAAAAAAAAAAAATGCAATTGGATGTTGTCAAATCAGTAAACTGTTGACTCAGGAACAATTTTACTCTATATGGCCAGGCTGGGAAATCTTGTGGATCTCCAGAAGTTGCTCAGTGGCAGCCCAGCCAGTGTGGGAAAGAGTGAGGGAGGGATGCTGGGAACCATAGTTCAGCCTCATCTAGAGGGCTACTGATTCTTCATTGCTCCTTGAAGAGCTGCTAAATTAGACTCAAGCTCTGTCCTTTCACAACAGAAGCTCCATTGAAAGAGCTGTTTCCGGATTATTCTTTTAGTTTTTCTCCTCTATGGTTCCAAACAAGTCTGGGGGAAAAAACATTTCTCTCATGGATGAAGGCCAATGAAAGCAAGGATTAACTAAAAATGACAATTTTGTATTCAATATATCATAGTAATATGTAAATGTGATTGTTTTTAAACGGGAGGTGGTTGTTTTCCCCATCTTATAGATAGGAACAATAAAAGCCAACCATGGAAAAGCCTTTTTCCAAGCTTTCTATTACCTGTTAAAAATGAGTAGCAGCAGTAAGGATCAGTCTGAGCTTTCCAAGTATGAATTCCCATTTGGTGTCAAACAAGATTGGAAGAAAGCCCACTTTTTGTGAATCAGCTCTGGTGTGAAGTGGGTCAGATAACTATGTTCCTGGATTGCTGAGCAGCATCTGAGCAGGAATGGGCATCTGTAACCTTTAGGGGTCTGTTTTAAGGAGGAGCTATTTGCAGTGCTTTGTTAGAAGGAGTGGGGAGGGGGAGAGACTTAGCTTTTCCTCTTTGAATGTTAATTGGAATCTATCTGAAAGAGGGAAGTTAGAGGATGAGCCAAGCTCCTGGAATTCATGATGAACTTCCATCCTTCCTGTGTTTCCATTCCTGCATCCTTAGCAACAATCTGAAGCAACATCTGTTTGTAATACTGAGAACCAGTTGAGCTTCTGCAGATGTTGCAGATGCAAAAATCTCATTGTCCAAATCCAAAAGAAAGGGAGGAAATAAAAAGGAATAAGATGTGCAGATGAATCAGGTAGAATTGACAAACTTCTGTTTAGCTTTGCTTATTTTGTTTGGGTTTCTGAAAGGGAGCTGCACAGCTATTAAACTAGCAATATCCTAATACAATACTTACCCTAATGCAGATCTTAACGCAAATGACCCACAGAAGTGATAAGGCGAGATTTTTCTTTTGTGGGAAGTAGAGCTACAGTATCATTAAAACCACTGCATGGATTTCCAGGTGAGTAGAAATGAATGGGTTCACCTCTCCCAGAGCACTGCTGACCCCCCCCCCCCGTTGGATCCAGAGCTCTGGAGCTGCTTTAAGGCTGGCAGAATCCTTGAGCGGATGTGCCCTTAGTGAGGAGGATATAATAAAGTAGAGGAAGGAGAAGATATTGCTTGAAATGTCTCTCAAATAAGCTGCTTTAAAAACTGTTGCTCTTATTGTTATAATCTACTGGGCAAGGAAGCTCCTTTCCTGCTCCCCCGTACACAGAATTATCTTACCCTCAGTTGGCTAAACAGTGATTTGGTAGAACTGAAACACAGTCTTTCCTTTTTGGAATTAAGAGAAATTGCACTGATGATGTTTTTTAGTAATGAAAGGTCTGCAAGAAAGCAACCAAGCTCAAGGAGCACCAAGGACCCCTCAGATCTTTCTCTTTGCAAAGAGATCTTTATGTTTTTGTGACCCTGGTTTATTATTTGACTTTACAGCTGGGCACTTAGGATTTTTTTTTTTTTTAAAAGACATTGTTCTAGATCGTAGTACCTTTCTGGGACATTTGGCTGTATGAGTCTTGTGATACTATCTGTAATGCCTCTGACTAAAAGTCCTAGAAGATAATCTTATGAGATTATTGCTTAGCCTCATGTCCTTGGTTCATGGAGCTTATCAGCATTCTGTATCGTCTTACCTCCCGGACAGAGGAGATCCACAACTCTGCTATGGCATCTTGTCCCTATGGCAATAATACTTAGTAGTTTTATTGATGATTTGGAATTCATAGAAAGACCGATTCTGGCCACAGTGAGGGATTATTAGAGGGAAACAGAGTTTCAGTTCAGATCACAGCTGAAGTTTGTAGAAGGAGCTGGCACTATACGAAGTTGCAAGGTCAGGTGTTACTTCAAAGAATGCTTTAGCTACTCAAATTTCCTGGTGGACAACAAATGACTGCTCTCAGTCAGGAGCACTTTTGGAAAGCTTTGGCTAACTAGCCAGCATTACCCTCTGGAACAGAGAATGTAGCCATAACAATCGATGTCTTCAATACCTCTCATTTAGGTCATTCTAGCATGCTGCTCTTGAAAAGTGTAATGCATGTAGAGCAGGGGTGTCAAACTCAATTTCATTGAGGGCCACATCAGCATTGCGGTTGCCCTTGGGGGTCGGGTGGTGTGGCCAGGGTGGGTGCAGCCTACTGGGTGGGCATGGATGGAGTGGGTGTGGCCTACTGGGTAGGCATGGCCAGCTCTACATCGTTCGCATCAAGGGTGCCTGTGGGGGCCTGGGCAGGAGTGGGACATATATGAGGGTTTCTGGCAGAAGGAGTGGGACCGGGGCAAGCAACTAGGCATGGTCCATTTCTTCATTCCTGACAAAGGGTGACACCTCCCCAGCATGCACCAGGGGGTGGGGCCAACGCAGCAGGGGCTGGTTCCTTGCTGTTTCCAGGAGGCCTTGTGAAGCTAAGACTGAATGTGTTTCAGCATAAATGGCTACCACAAAATTGTACATTGGCTCCCGGCTTGCCTGGGCCAGGGCCAAGGCAGCGGAGGCCGTTCCCTCACTGTTTCCAGGATGGCTTTGTAGGCCACATGAAACCATTTCGCAGGCTACATCCAGCCCCCGGGCCTTGTGTTTGACATGTCTGATGTAGAGTAACAAATGATGATCCTGTTCCTATTGGATATAAGGTTTAGAGAAAATTTACCACAGTCTGGAACCAACTATACCCTTTAGGTTTCTATTCTTGTTTTGGAAATCCTAAACAGGTTAGTGGTAGAATATCAGCAAAGATATTACCATGTATATAATTATGCTCTTATATGTCTTCTTTATCATAAATCCTATGCTACAACCTATCATAAGATTAAGTCAGTCAGTATAAAGAAACTTTGCTGTGGCAACTGTGGACTCTCAACTGCTGCTACAATCCGTATTGAAATTTAGAAGTGCAGAAAAACATATTGTTTCACTTGGGATTTGATAATGAATGATTAAAGTTAATATTGTTTTGTTTTGCTTTTTATTTTTATTTTAAAGCTGTTGCCTTTCATTTTATGTAATTTATTATATATAAATCTTGGTGGACAGTCAAATGATTTATGGATACTCAATAATAAAGAACAGAAAAACAAACTCATTTGAATGAATTATCACTTTTTATAATATATGGAAAGGTCAGTTAAAAGGAGCAAGGCAAATGCTGAAATTGCAGATCATGCTAAGCTATGATGTGGTTTGCTTGGCTTTGGTTAAAGCTGCATGCAAGACAGTTCAAGCATTAAATGTTTTGAGCATGAAACAGCTGTTTGGTGTGGTTTGTGCATTAGAAAATCACATATTGTGAATAAAACACAGAGCAATTGTTTCAGGTAGAAAGTATTTCGAGTGGGTTTTTTTTAATTTTTTAAAATTTTTATTAAGTACAAAGAAAAAAAAGGATTAAAAACATTGAACATGGTAAATCGTCTTTGACTGACATCTCAGTCCATATTGTACATTAATTACATATAATATACCTATATACAACTATACATTTCTAGTCTCTATCTCAGTTTATCTCTTTACTGTGACCTCTATTTTTTCCCTCCATCTATAAAATTTATTCCATATTCGATAACATGTTTCTTCCTGATTTTTTAATCTTTTAGTTATCCTATCTAGTTTTGTGCAATACATAATTTTCTTTATTAGTGCTTCCCCACTCGGTACTTCCATTGCTTTCCACTTTTGAGCAAATAGTATCCTTGCTGCTGTGACCACATGGATAATTAAATATGTGTCCTCTTTATTTACATTTTTCTTTAGTATTCCTAATAGTAATGTCTCCGGTTTGTATTGAATGTTTTGCCTAGTCATTTCTATTGCCCAATCCCAGACCATATGCCAGTACACCTGTGCTTCTCTACATGTCCACCATACATGAAAAAAGGTGCCCTTTTCTTTTTTACATTTCCAACACATAGATGAATATCCGTTATACATTTTGGCTAATCTGGCCGGAGGGAGATGCCATCTGTAAACCATCTTATACAGGTTTTTTTATATGATGTTGCCACTGTGATTTTGTTATTTCGGTCCCATACTTGCTGCCATTGATCCTTATTTATATTATATCCTAGATCTATTGCCCATGTCACCATTGTTTCTTTAATCTGCTTCTCATATAGCTTATGTTCCAACAGGTGTTTATAAATATTCTTTATTTGTTTTTTCTCCAGGCCTAGCAATATTTTATCTAACTCCATATGTTAATTCCCCATTCTTGCTTATCCTTCATGTATCTTGCTTGTATCTGGAGATAAGACCACCACTCCATGTCTATTCCTTGTTGTTTTAGCTCTTGTTTTTGTTTTAAATAACCTTCTTCTGTCAATATGTCTTTATATATAATAGCTTTGTCTATCCTGTACAAATTGGGGTATGTGACTGCCTCCAATGGCGATAGCCAAGCCGGAATCTTTGTGTAATATTGATGTTTAACTATATTCCAGCTTTTTATTAATTCTTGCCGAACCTTATGTCTTAAAAAATATTGGTAGTTTCTGCTTTGCCCCATCCATATGTGAGCATGCCAGCCCTGCTGGAGGTCATAACCCT